CAGGGCTGATCTTCCTCACAAAAAAAAAAAAAAAAAAGAATATAACAACCATATTTCCATCATCAGAAAAACAAATATAATTATATATATATTTTTAAAGTAGAGCATTAAACAAAGATAAATCTTTCTGGTTTAGATGTCTTTCTTCCTTTTCCTTGCCCCATTAAAAAAAAAAGGATCAAATTGCTTAGTTTAGAAGTAGTTAGTAGTATTTGGAAGCCCTGATCTCATCTAAACAAAGCTCCTCCCCTCATCCTAGTTTCTTTTCCTGAAGAAAGCTGAGTCATGACCAACATCACTGACTGTGCCAGAAGAGAGAGCTGATAACGAATCTCCTTCCACAAGCTTGCACCTTACATTATTTTTAGATCTGCTTATTTTTCATCAGTATTTTAATAAAATTCCATGTTATAGGTTTAATTTGGATTGAATAAAAGACAATCAAGAGTAAACATATGGGAAATCAATGATACCAGCTCAAGAGACAGTTGACGTAAGGGAAGCCATATTGTAGAAAAGAAAAACCCTGTTGTAACTTTGAACGACCTCTGACAAACTAACCCAGCTGGATGTGCACCCTCCAGGAGACCTACCTGCTCTGTAGATTTTACGACCCCTGCTTGTGCACCTACCTCCCAGCTGCGGTAAGATAATGACTTCGTTCTTTTGAGTTCCTTAGGAATGTGATGACCCCCGAAAAGAGAGTCTATGCTGATAGTCATCATCAATGAAAACTGAAAGATCTGGTGTGGCACTCCAGTGTGTAACACCAGAAGGCGAACATTCCTAACCCCCTCCCCTATAACCCACCAGCCTATATAACTGCTGTAAGATTTTTGTGCCCCCTTAAGGTGGTTATTTTTGGACATTAGTTGGCCATCTTCCCTCTTGCTAGCAAGCTGTAATAAAAAGTCCTTTCTTTCCTACCACCTTGCCTCTTGACTACTGGCATTTCTTGCGGCAAGCGGACCAACTCCCTTTTCAGGCAGTAACATCAAGAGATCTAAAACTAAAATTTGGTAAGTGTCCACTGTGTGCCAGGCACTTTACCCACATCGCTTCATTTAAGCTTCAGAAACATTCTACGGGGCCAGCCCGGTGGCGCAGATGGTTAAGTGCGCGTGCTCCGCTGTGGCGGCCCGGGGTTCACAGGTTCGGATCCTGGGTGCACACCGACGTACTGCTTGGCAAGCCATGCTGTGGCAGCGCCCCATATAAAGTAGAGGAAGATGGGCATGGATGTTAGCCCAGGGCCAGTCATCCTCAGCAAAAAAAGAGGAGGATTAGCAGATGTTAGCTGAGGGCCGATCTTCCTCACAAAACAAAACAAAAAAGAAACATTCTATGAAGCGGACACTCTTACACCTGTTTTCCCATGTGAGGAAAGTAAGGCTTAATACTTGACCATTACTTGATGAATGTCATTCAGTAGGCCAATCTGACCTGTCCTCAAATCCTGTCCTCTATTGTGTACTCTGAAATTCAACTTTAAGATTTCAAGTGGTCGGGCCGGCCCCGTGGCTTGGTGGTTAAGTGAGCGCGCTCCACTGCTGGCGACCCGGGTTCGGATCCCGGGCTCGCACCGACGCGCTGCTTCTCCGGCCATGCTGAGGCCGCGTCCCACATACAGCAACTAGAAGGATGTGCAGCTACGACACACAACTATCTACTGGGGCTTTGGGGGGAAAAAATAAATAAATAAAATCTTAAAAAAAAAAAAAAAAAAAGATTTCAAGTGGTCTATTCTTCACTAAGTAACGTTTCATAATCTACATTAAGCTAAAAATTAAATAAAATAAAATCATGACATCAGTTTGGGAATCTTCTACTTGCAATTAAAAAAAACATATTGGCAAAGACTCCTTAATTTTGGTCAAGTTGGTAGTGACTTTAGTGTCTGTTGTTCTTATTTTTTTATATAAGCCTGAAGTCAAGCAAAAAAAATTAGTCTTTTTAAAAGAGTTTTCTTCAATAAACCATCATGCTGACAAATTAAATGACAGTAACCTCTCTCAACGGCTGACAGCCTAGCAGGGGCCCTGTTAACATGCGCATTAGGGCAGACTGATTGGTTTAATTGGCAGTCGTGCCTAAAAACCTGCAGAGGAATTGATGCTGAATGAATCATTTTCTTCAGCAATATTCAGCAGTTTGAATGCAGCAATGCAACCAAAGATTCTTAAAGTTGTTCTATTTATTATTATAACCAACCGAGTGATTACTTTCATTTTATTTTCTAAAATTGTGTGCGTTTACTGAAAGCCATCATTTAAAAATGCTTCAAAGGAAAGATTTCTTACCAAATTTTCCCATATCTCAAACTGGACGGTACTGGAGGTAGACACTGTCGTGAGGAATAAATCTAGAAGGAAAATGACAGAATTTTAAGTCTTGTTACTGATGTATACATTTAAAAAGAGGAAGAAATGCAATACATAAAAATAGTTATTAATATAGTTGTATTTAAACATATTTTAAATTATATTTTAACAAGCTTAATGCCATCAAAGAAAAAACAGCAGATGATCCTGTATTAGTACAATGAAGGAAAATGTATTTAAAGGGAGCATTTGGTATTAGTCTTTCAAAAGCATTCTTTATTTTTAAGAACAGTTACGTATACTACTTTTTTATCTTAGACATTTTTATTCTAAGGTACACTATACTTTTTAAAAAGATATCCTGATTATAAACACGTTTTGCTTTCTCACCCTAGGAGAAACAGTTACCTATATATCAAAGTCAAGTTTCAGCATAATTTTAAATCACAGCACTACAGCATCCAGAATCTTTAGCACTCATGTTAAATGAACAAGTTATATTTCAAATTTTGAGTTGCAGAAGAATTGTCTTTATATATTCCAAATAAAGAAAGTCTATTTTATTGAAAAGTACAAGAATTTTAATAAAATTTTTTGAAAAACAATAGGTTGACAGTCAAATCAAACATCCTATTAATGCAAAGGCCAGGTGAACTGCAAATCTTATTCTAGCAGCAGCATTTATTATTTTTGCACAATGGCAATTTTACTTAGTGAATATATAATTTTAAAATGATGAGTTAAGTCATAGGAATATGAAAAAGACAGTATTCTTTTGTGCTTTAAAAAAATGGAAATTATTCAGAGTGTTGTGAAGACCATGACTATTTTAAAGAAAAGAGTTTTTTCTCCCCATTAAATATGTTTAGAAACCTATCATCCACAGTTTAATGTGTTTTCTGTAAAGGTTTCATATGAATTTAGTGAAGCTAATTTATGTAATAATTATAATAATAAATATTTTCATGGAATCCCCAGAAAGCTAAGCAATTTGTTCACTTTTATAATTAGCAGAACTCAAAACTCCTGACTGAGTAGGTGGAACCACTCTTTATGTCAATGTACAAATATCTCTGCATTTGTTTTCCCTGCACTAAGGATACTTTGCCTATAGATATAGACATGTAGTCTTTTACGAAGACAATTTCCTTACTCTGGCAAATAAAGATTCCCGATGAAGCGTTTACTTCCATACTCAACTAGGAAAACTCCCAAATAATATCCGAGATTGTGTGAGGCTGCACCTACAGCCCATTCCTCTCCTTCTTCCACATATTCTCCACATTGCCATCAGCATGATTAAAAACAACAGTGCAAATTTGATCTCATTCCTTCTCTCCTAGGATCTCTTCTCCTCAAGAGAAGGCTTACCTACCTACCTGCGTTTCCAGGCTGATTTCCTGCTACTCTCACAAGAAACTTACTCTGTGTGGTATCCTTTTACCTCACAGCACCTGGTGAACTAATTCTTCAAAATGAGCTCAAATGTCCCCATCCTTCCCTCCATTGTTATTCCATTATGTTATCTCTATCACTGCAATTATTACATATACCTTGATATTCTGGTTTCATATCAGTCTTCTCTGAGCTTCTTGAAGGGAGGAGTTATGCCTAATTGATTTTTATATCTTTGTGGTTCATATGTGCTTGAAAATAGTATGTGTTCAACTGACTGCTGAATAACTAAATGACACCAGGCTATATATGTACTGTGGTTTCTGCAAATTTGCTTGAACTGTCTAAAAATAGTTAATCTATAGCATCTTTAAATGGAGTCTATGGAAAAGAAGGGTCTTATGTTAAAGCATTTCATTAAAAATAAGTATGACTGATCACAGTGACTACTGTATTAAGCATGTTTAAAAGCTATTACCTTTATATATTACCTGAAAATGTGGATAATCAGCATAAGAAAATGATAAGAGATTAATAGCCAAAGAGATTTCTAAGAATCACTGAGAGCCACGTCAATGTAAGCTCTGAGCTATTTGAAAGAAGCAAAATCCAGAAAAGGGGCAATTATACTATTATATAATATAACAGGTGAATTTGTTCAAACTGAAAACATTACACTGTTGAAATTCTTAACCCATTTGAGAATAAATGAGGAGGCATCTTTCCAACAAGGGATCAAAGGCTCACTGCCTTGATAAGCCAGTTAGCTTCGTGGATTTGGAAGAGCTCTTCTGTTACCACAAATGACCAAGCAGGGACAGTTAGAGGGGAGTGGTGGATGGCTACCAGCAATCTATCACCATTCCTGGAAAAACACCACAAAATATTTTTTTCTCTTGGTATTGCATTAGTCTCTGTATATTTGCATAAAAGGTGATAAATTATGAGCTTCCTATTGTTTCACTCATATTTAGAAAATTTAAGAACTATAACACGATGTTTTCTGATTCTATTTTCATAGCTTCACTAGCTATTTATTAAGACTTTGAAAAACAGTAAAGTGAGATGAGAGATTGGAAGTACCTTGTAAAATTAAAAAAATTTCATTTCACTATTCAATTATGTAAAGAGGTTATAGAAAAATAAATGATTCATTATGTAGAGAAATAAAAAGAGACAACTAATTATTAACTATTCGATATGAAGAATCATGCCTCAGCCTTTGAATGAAATAACTAGAAAAAAATTATAGTCAACACAGCAATAAAGTTCTCACCCTCCCACATGGTTAAGAGTAATTCACACAAAAAAATTAAAGGAAATGTACTCAATGAAACTGTAACGGATGCTGTGACATGCCACCCAGATCCCCTCTTAGGAGTGAAGGACTTATTCCTCAGCTGCTGGAAATGCTGCTGCCAGACAGCCCTAGTAGTCAGCCCTTTTTGGAACAGCCTTGGCTGAAAAGAGCTACCTTGCCAAAGGTCACATCCCTTTCTGCGCTAGCCTGCATTCAATAACTGTTCAGTTCAGAGGAATACAGGCTAGATCCCCTCAGCACAACTCAGGACCACGCTGCAGAGCCATTCCACGTTCAGAGGTCCCAGGGTCAGTCGAGGCTTTTAGTGACACTGAATCATAGTCCAACTCTGCTTTCTTCTCTTCCCTTCCAGTGGTACTGACTATAAGAGCACTCCCTAAAACTAAACTTCTTGCATACTAAGCTCCACCTCCGAGACTGCTTCCCAGGGAACCTAGTCTAACAACAGTTGACACCAAAGTGATTGGAGAAAGCAGACACTAAGATTTTGGAGTTGGATCACCTAACATGGGGCTGGCAATAAGGATTCCTTCCCTGGGGGTAAGCAGTGCACAGAGAGCCACACGATCTTTTACTGGTGCTATCTCGGGATAGTATTCTGGTGGAAGAGAAGGCACTAGTGGATGTGATTTTAGGCTTTTTGAGACATATAAGGTAAACACTAACTATAAGGACAGTGGAATTAGATGGCTATTGCTAAGCTCAATACAGGAAAGTCACAAAGGCTACACATGATTGATCAGAAATTAACAGCTAAGCATGAAAGCCAGAGGGCCTCTTAGGTGTCACATAAAGAAGTTCTCATCTCCTGCAGCAAGAGAGCAAGGAAAGCTGAGGATCACGACCAGGACATAATAATGGTTAAGAGTAGAAGAGCTCCCAAGAAGGTTAAATTCTCAACCTAAGTAGGTCTGCTGTGCCAAGGTTAGGGCCCTAGTGGGGAAAGAAGGATACTTCACCCATGGGATAGGAACATCTGGGTGATGAACCTGAAAACCTTGAATCCTCAGATTCACTTGAACCTTCAGAGCCTGCAGAAGAGGCCCACTCTTCACTGTTAAAGGCTGGTGTTTGCTCCCGCTGGAGGATGATGGAGAAGTGTCTGCCCCCATTAGGCAACATGCTTCCCACTTCCTACAGTCTGCCCCACCTTCTCTCCTGGACACTAGGCCAAAAAATGGGGTTAAGTTACAAGATAACCTGGCCAGGAATGTGATGGACATGTAGAGGAAAAAGGAACTATAGCTTGAATTAAGTCCAGGACCTAGCTAACATGTACTGGCAGGAGCCAGGAGAGTATGCATGACACTATATTCTGGAGAGCCTGATCAAGGCACAGGGTGAGGGGCAGGGTAGGAAGGATGGGGTACAGGGTGGGGCAGAATAAAGAGTTGGGGGCAAGGTGATTACACTGGATCCCTTCCACCCTAGAAGTGGCAGCAATTCATTTTATAGGAGTAGACACATATTCTGGATATGGGTTTGTCTTTCCTGTCTTGAAAGCTAATTTTAAAAATGCTAATAGAAAAAATACGATGATAGCTGAAACAATATGATGATAGCTGACATCACTGGTATTCCCTTGAAGAAATAATCCTTAACAAAAGATCACATTATGAGTTAGTAAAAAATTCAGGATATAAACCCTAAACTCAATTAAATCCTTTTTCATTAGAATTTCTAATATTAAGTGTGTACAAAAACATTAAATGGTTTATGCTTCAATTATTTCCATTCATAGCTTGAAAGGATTAAGATAATGCCTCTTAAATGTTGCCAAGTGCAGTACAGCCTTCTCTTCAAATGAAGAGAACCAGCTGGTTAAAGCTGGCATCAAAAGGAAGCTTTAGGAGTTTTAGAAACTTAAATTGGAAGTCTGACTATGTGAACTAAACCATGTCAGGAAAAACCAAAACAAAGTTTTATGATTATGATCAAAGTTTAAAGTTTAATGATAATGGGCACCTAACACCCTTTTGATATACTATGATATGAAGAAAGACGCTAAATATTGTGATTTCTGGCACTGTATCCTATTGGTGTGAAGTCTCAATATTTTAAGAAAAATATTCTGATGGAAATTTTTAAAAAGCATTCATAATGTCATTTAGAGTTCCTGCATGAAGAAATTCTTAAATGATGATAGTCACTATATTTCCAAAGGAGTACTATGGTTCGTTTTGGAAAAATACAGTTAATAAAACATTTGTAGTATTTTCTGGAAGCTATAGACATTTCCAGAAAGAATGGTTCAAAGCAGTATCATAGTCTGTACTGTTTCAATGCTTTAGCCAGGAGGAGATGCCAAGTTCATGTTTACATCTG